CGGTATCGTGGGTGATAACATGGACACAGAATCTCGCACAACCAATTAATACCCGGTCATAGGTCAAAATTATTGAGAAGTTGTTCGGATCTATTGGACATTGTGTGTAGTCCTTCACTGATGTGTTCATGTGCTCGTTATTGGAAGACAGCGACATCCTGCCTATGTCAGAATTCTGAACGAGCAACATATAAGGAGCTAGGGTGAGGTTTCGCAGTGGTCCCGCGTCGGGCCAGCAGCGGACTAGCGCATGGTACTCCGCCTCAATATGCCCTGGCGAATCAGGCGAAGCACAAGGCAGTATTGCTATGGCCTGCAAAAACTAAAACCTTGTTGCCATTAATACCTCTTTCTCTTCTCATATTCTCTGCATTTACAAAATTCTTCTTCGACTGTAATGACTTCTCATAGTCTTCCGGCTGAGCACATCTACTGCGTACAAGCGGGCAAGAAACACCATGACCTCTTCACCACCATATATGCTGGCGAGAATTATTGCGGACGATGCGGATTAGCGAACCCCTTTTCCTCCCAGAGTCGAGCCAGATCTAGAACTCCTGCACGTCCTGGCCCCCATGACGAGGTGGTTGAGCTCGAAGACTCCCCGCCAAGGCCAGTCAGTCCTGCCAGTCAGCTCATGCGCAACAGGACAAAGTCGTCGTCATCGGTCAATGTTGGACTCGCCCAACTACTTCCGAACACTGTGTCGGTCCTCAACGGAGCCGATGCACGAGCGCGATTACATGCTCCGAGGCAACCACCGTTCGGAGCAGTTGCATCTGCGGCCAGCCAAGCCATACAGAACTCCAAAGCCAGCACCAGAAAGCCTTCGAGGCAGCGCACTGGCTACCAGTGGGTACACATCAGTCTTCTGCTTGTGAGCCTGGAGGCCAGATACTTCAATGGCCTCGTGGTCGAGGTTCCAGAGACAGTATTGCCCCTGAAAGACACCGTGATCAAATTCAACTCGGTAGATTTACTTACCTGGCCATCGTTCACCGAGACACTGTTCGAGCACCTACGTCCACTTCCAAGTAGTATTGATCCCTCCAACAAAAGCCTTTGGAGCCTTTCTTTCGCTTCAGCGTTCTCCGGCAAGAAAATAGTCACCGTTCCAAATACCGACAAGTACATCACGCCTTCGAGTATGCTAGCTTCGGGGCATTTTTCGAACAATCAAGCTGGGCAGTTGAAGGTTCTCGTCGTCTTGACGTCCACACAAGTAATTGACAGGCAGGAGCCGACTACGCCGCTGAGGCCAGATGAATACTCGACTCCCACCAAGGAGAACAAGAAACGGAGGATCAAACAGGAGGACAAGACTCCATCCCTTGTACACAAGAAGCGGATCAAGCAGGAGAAGGACGTCGAAAGGGGGAACGAGACTAAAAGAGATGAAATCAAACAAGAGATTCATGTTAAGACGGAGCAATACGATCCGGATGCTGATACATCTTCGCCAGGATTGACGTGCAATGAGTTGGATGTGGAAGAACTAGGTGAGATGGAACATTCGCCCTCCGATTTGGTGTCGAATAGTATCGATGTCGGAATCAGAGACGAGGATGACGCAGAGCAAGAGGCAGGGCAGGAGGGCGAATATGAAGACGAGACCAAAAATGCCCTGGAGCTTGTAAGAAGGCAAGCCGACTCGGCGAAATTAAAGACTGACCTCATTAGGTGCGCTTATCGTCAGCAGGCATCTATGAGTCCGCTGGTGGAGCTCAAGTAGACCTGGTCGACAATATGCCAATCGAAGAACTTCAGCCAGCTCACTCTACGCGCTTCAGAGGCACCAAAACCCCGGAAACATTTGCATCTCGACATAGAAAATAGAAGGATTGACTACTCCGACGCTCCGTCGTATATGTCACCGTCCACCGCGTCCCAGCCATCATCGCTTATTCCTTCGATATCGTTCCCTTCTTCGTCTTCAAAACCAAGCTCGACCAAAGGCTCCTCTGTCGGCTCACCGTCCTCAAAATCATCTTGCTGGGCATGAGTTGCTCGATCAAGCAACGCTTGCTAAACGCAATTAGATAGTTTCAATACATATACAGACATAGTCGCTTACATATTCAGCAACCCCTCCTGTTGGTGCCTTTCGATAAGCCAATATGGGTGGCCGGCCGCTCTCGACGTGCTGGGCAATCCTCCCGCGGAGGCCAAGATAGAAGCGCTTGAACGGGCGGAGCTTATCAGAGTCTTGGTGGCTGCCGCCCACTACCTCGTCATAGCCCATCTCTGTGAGAGCCCTTCGACACCACTCTTTCGTCTCTGGCTCTAGGCATGTGTCAATATCGATATTAGACAATGGCCGTGCCATTTCGTTTAAAGCCGATTGGTCAATCGGTATACCCCAGTTGCACGCCTTTATCGGATCGGGATAGTGGTAGTTCATCCACGGTTGGCCGTGAACCACGTGGGGGCGGTTCTTTTGCAGGCGTATGCGGTGTAGGTTCCATGCCTCTATAAAGTCGAAGAGTTCCTGCCGCAGCACGTCTTCGAAGACGGCGTACATGGCAATCTGATCCTCCAGCATTTCGCCATCGAAGTCGCCGTCCCTAGCGAGCTCACCGAAGTAGTCCACCCATTGTCTTGATGAGACGTGGAGCATTCGCTCCCACCAGCTCTCGATTTTGACGTTTTTCGTGCTCGGGCCCGCCTTGTAGGAATCCCTCAATCTTTTGCCTTGCTCAAAAACTTGCCCATGCCATTCCACGCGCCCGTCTGCAGCCAAGGCGAAATTCCAGTGGGCGGCTGCCACTAAGGGCGTTTCGCGGCCTCTGTCTGCCTGCAGATACCATGGTCGGAAGCCATAGGCGTCACATGCCGCTAGATACTGCTTCAACACGCTCAAGGCAGTTGTGGCAGAATGGCCAACGTAAAACCAGATGATGTTGCGTGAGTAGGCATCGATTGCAGCGTATATCTCGAAGCCGTATGCTTTGAGCTTGTCGTGACCATCAATGCACCACTGGTAGTTCGGTCCTGGAACGAGGAATTGACCCTTCTTCCTCCGCAACATTCTTTTTCGCATCTCGACCTCGTTCGGGAACATGATTTTGTACATCTCGAAAAGGGGATCTCTTGGCACCCAGAGTTGCTTTTGGTGGCGAAGGTAGGGTTGAAGAAACCTCCTACCATATCCTGCGATGGCATTGGACCGTTGCGTCATTTCAATGATGAGTTGTTCTGTTTTCATCAATAGTGTAAGCCGCTCCTCATCACTATCGATGCGACGTACCCAGCGGCGGTCTGGGTGAAGTCTAATGCGTTTTAAACCCCGCTTGGTGATCGGCCAACCTTGCCGCTGCAAAACTGCCAGCGTCTGTTTTTCGGTCAGACCAACGCGGAAGACGAGATCGCGGATAGCCTCAATCAGCTCGGGACTCTCGCTGGTGCGTGATTGTTGACGTGGGAGACCCCAACTCGCGATGCGCCGAGATATCGTGCTCAGATCAACAGTTATGTGGAAATGATGCTGGAGCTTATACCTTATCTTGCTTCTTGGGACACCGCTGAGATAGAGCAAACTGACATAGTCACGGTACTGGTCAATTGGATTCGGTGGCCGCGGCATGGTGTCGTTCGGTGGTAGACAATTGGAAGTTCGCGGCAAATGTCTCGCAGACCAGAAAAAGGGGTTCGGTAGTGATTAATCCACCGCACTACCCCGCAGCGGTGCGGGTGCTGGCCCGCCGCGGCTAAAATGTGAGGGATGGTGGTGGGATGTTCTTTTTGGGACTTGAAGGGGCTCTGGTTCTTGCTGACAGGTTATATATTGACCCTTCGCACCGTCACCACTGATTCTTGCGACAGATTAGTTGTTGAATGGCCGCCATCGACATGTCTGTTGTCGAACGCGCTAGAACAGGCGCAACTACTGTCGCTGAAGCACCGGACAGGGACTCCGACGAAAAAACCACCAGAGACAGCAGTGGCAAACGAAAAGCCCAGCCCAGTGCCCAGGCGACAGCAGGCAGGATTACCGTAAGATCCATTCCGTCGTCGTTTTTGCTGATGGAACATACTGAGGCGATTGTGTACGCAGAAGAGGAAAAAGCAAACCAAAAAGGATCCTCCTATCGGCTCGGCTCGTGATTTCCCATGCCGTCCATGCGTTACTCGCGCAACCAAAGCTCCTGGCCACGAATGTGCCTCTCAGAATAGTGAGTGGGTTATTCTAATGAAAGAAATGCCACCGTGCTAACGCGCGCCGGTTAGATACTGGTGCAGCTTGCTGGGATTGCGCAAGAAATGGCCATACTTGTAGGCCGGTAGGTGGTGGTCTGTCTGGTTCTGGAAGAGGGTGGGTTGCTGATTTATTTACGCTCGCAGGTCCCTGCCGGCGCTGTTGCTGCCGTACGCACTTTTTGGCGGCTCAATCGTCAGATCAAAGATACCAATGGTGA